CGCCTCGCGGAAATCCGGGGCATAAATTCCCGGAAGTAGCGTTTTGCCTTATAACGGGTCTACTTTTGGCTAAGACCGCATGCGCTATCGGCCAATTAATAGCGCTAGCGCGCGCGCGCGCCTCGCGGAAATTCGGGGCATAAATTCCCGGAAATAGCGTTTTGCCTTATAACGGGTCTACTTTTAGCTAAGACCGCGCGCGCTAAGTCGGCCAAAATAGCGCGCGCGCTCGCCTCGCGGAAATCCGGGGCATAAATTCCCGGAAGTAGCGTTTTGCCTTATAACGGGTCTACTTTTGGCTAAGACCGCGCGCCCTATCGGCCAATTAATAGCGCTAGCGCGCGCGCGCGCCTCGCAGAAATTCGGGGCATAAATTTCCGGAAGTACCGTTTTGCCTTATAACGGGTCTACTTTTGGCTAAGACCGCGCGCGATAAGTCGGCCAATATTAGCGCGCGCGTGCGCCTCGCGGAAATCCGGGGCATAAATTTCCGGAAGTAGCGTTTTACCTTATACAGTAAAAGCTAGGGTCTACTTTTGGCTAAGACCGCGCACGCTAAGTCGGCCAATAAAAGCGCGCGCGTCGCGGAAGCAGCGTTTTGCCTTTTATAACTGGTCTGCGTGCCGCGCGCTGCCCGGAGCATAGTATCCTAAATTAAATTGCAGTCTGTGGAATTTCCCCTTCAGTGGCGGTAGTTAGTAGGTTAGGTTAGGTTAGGTTAGGTTAGGTTAGGTTGGTAGGTAGGTAGTGGGTAGTGGTTAGGGGTAGTAGTTAGGGGTAGTAGTTAAGTAGATAGTAGAAAGGTAGATAGTAGTCTAAAGTAGAAAGTAAAAAGTAGAAACTAGTAAGTAAGTAGTAAGTAGTAAGTAGTAAGCAGCAGGAGTAGTAGTAGGAGTAGTAGTAGGAGTAGTAGTAGGAGTAGTAGTAGTAGTAGCAGTAAGTAGTAGTAGTAGTAGTAGTACTAGTAGTAGTAGTCGTCGTAGTAGTCGTAGTAGTCGTAGTAGTCGTAGTCGTAGTCGTAGTCGTAGTCGTAGTCGTAGTAGTAGTAGTAGTAGCAGTAAGTAGTAGTAGTAGTAGGAGTAGGAGTAGTAGTAGGAGTAGTAGTAGTAGTAGGTAGTAAGTAGTCAAAGGAAGTTGGGAAGCAATTTCCGAGTTACGAATGACTTTTTACTTGGTGCAATTGACTATGATGAAGGGTGGTAGATCCTGTAACAATACATAATGTACCAATACATGACAAACCAATAAGAAGCAATGAAATTGACCTTGAGGAAGGGTGGTAGATCATATAACAATACATAATATAACAATACATAATGTACCAATACATAACAAAAGAATAAGAAGCTATGAAATTGACCTTGAGGAAGTGATGATGAAGGGGAGTGGTGACGAAGGGAAGTGGTGAGGAAGGCAAGTGGTGACGAAGGGAAGTGGTGAAGAAGGGAAGTGATGATGAAGGGGAGTGGTGACGAAGGGAAGTGGTGAGTGGTGGAAGGGAAGTGGTGACGAAGGGAAGCGGTGAAGAAGGGAAGTGATGATGAAGGGGAGTGGTGACGAAGGGAAGTGGTGAGGAAGGGAAGTGGTGACGAAGGGAAGTGGAGAGGAAGGGAAGTGATGATGAAGGGGAGTGGTGAGGAAGGGAACTGGCAACCATGAAGGGGAGTGGTGCATGATGTTGCAAGGGCTCTGTTTTGGGGAGGAAGCCGGAGCACGAAACCTTGTGTTTTTCCGTGTAAAGTGGCTGCAGGCGACGATGAAAGGTACCTCGTCTGTGCGGCGGGTGCGGCTGCGGTCGGTTTATCGTTTTTTTTTTGGCCGCAGTGTAACGGTGGCTTCAAGCTGCTTTGGGTGTGCTTGTGTGTGCGTAGTTATAGGGTGTTTTGGAATCTGTGCTTGCAGATCGCATTGGAATGGCTGCATGATGTTGCAAGGGCTTTGTTTTGGGGAGGAAGCCGGAGCGCGAAACCTTGTGTTTTTCCGTGTAAAGTGGCTGCGGCCGGCGATGAAAGGTACCTCGTCTGTGCGACGGGTGCGGCTGGGGTCGGTTTATCGTTTTTTTTTTGCCGCAGTGTGACGGTGGCTTCAAGCTGCTTTGGGTGTGCTTGTGTGTGCGTAGTTATAGGGTGTTTTGGAATCTGTGCTTGCAGATCGCATTGGAATGGCTGCATGACTGTTGTCATTTGGTGTTCTGGTGTTGTTCTGTGCGTAGATAGGTGCAAGTTTGCGAGTTGCTGCTGCGAACCGCATTGTAATGGCTGCATGATGTTGCATGGGCTTTGTTTTGGGGAGGAAGCCGGAGCGCGAAACCTTGTGTTTTTCCGTGTAAAGTGGCTGCGGCCGGCGATGAAAGGTACCTCGTCTGTGCGACGGGTGCGGCTGGGGTCGGTTTATCGTTTTTTTTTTGCCGCAGTGTAACGGTGGCTTCAAGCTGCTTTGGGTGTGCTTGTTTGTGTGCGTAGTTATAGGGTGTTTTGGAATCTGTGCTTGCAGATCGCATTGGAATGGCTGCATGATGTTGCAATCGTCTTTTTCTCGCTTTGTTGTCGAGATCCGGTTTTGAGCTGCAATTTCCGATGCCATTGCACGTAGTTCTATTGTGTTTTGCTACTTAGTCTCTGCAGATCGCATTGGAGTGGCTGCGTCAAGGTTGCTTGGTGCAGCGGCTGCATGCGTAATACTATTGTCTTTTGCAGCTGAAGATTGTAAATCGTATGGAGTGGCTGCATCCAGGCTGCGAAAGTGAATTGTCAGCAGATTTTCCCAATTTTGGCGCTAATAATTTTCCTTTTAAAATTTCTTTTAAAAAGTGCACCAAAATCGTCTTTTTTTCGCTTTGGCGTCGAGATCCGGTTTTGGAGCTGCAATTTCCGATGCCATTGCACGTAGTTCTATTGTGTTTTGCTACTTAGTCTCTGCAGATCGCATTGTAGTGGCTGTGTCAAGGTTGCTTGGTGCAGCGGCTGCATGCGTAATACTATTGTCTTTTGCAGCTGAAGATCGTAAATCGTATTGGAATGGCTGCATCAAGGCTGCGAAAATGATTTGTCAGCAGATTTTCCCAATTTTGGCGTTGATAATTTTCCTTTTAAAATTCCTTTTAAAAAGTGCTTCAAAATCGTCTTTTTGTCGCTTTGGCGTCGAGATCCAGTTTTGGAGCTGCAAATTGTAGTATACTGGGAAGGACTTTGTGCAAGCTTTGTAGTACAAAGTAGTACTGGGGAGTACTTTGTGCAAGTTTTGTGGTACAAAGTAGTACTGGGAAGTAATTTTTGCAAGCTTTGTAGTGCAAAGTAGTATTGGGTGCAAGCTGTGTAGTACCAAGTAGTATATACTGAGAAGTAGTACTGGGAAGTAGTTTGTCAGCTAGTTCGTGGATGTAGGTTGCTATTTCGAGTTTTGTGTGCGATATTGATGTAGGTAAATGTTGTGACATTGATGTTCAGGAACAAGCTATAGAACTCTTGATTAGAAACCACGGTGGCGATGTGTTGTGGCCGCAGCTGTTTGCATTTTCCAGGAGGCAAACATGTGTAGCAAGAAAGAATTGGGAACGCGCATTTGTCAGAGGTGTCATGTCTTCAGGTCTCATGGTTAGACACGAAGATTTTCTCATGTTTTGGAGCGGTTAGTGGATGAGAAAGGTATGCATGATGAGACAGCCATGCTCATAGTTTCGGACGTCGCAGTGCGCAAGGAGACGTGGCAGTGCGGCCCGTTTCCTAAGACGCGGTGGAGCCATGGCGCAATCGGGGACCTTTGCTGATCTGTTGTCATACATCGAGAAGGAAGCGGCGACTTTGAAGGTGCTGGAATGTAAGACGTTGAAAGCTTGTCTAAGCACCGGAAAATGTTGGAAGTATTACAAGATGTATCTTGCTCTTGAGAAAACCTTTTCGGCCGAACAGACTCAGGTGATACAAGAATGGGAAAAAGAAAACTGCGTGTCAGATGTGCGAGCAGCCTTTCGGAAGTTTTGTGCTGCTGCAGAAGCGCACTTAGAGGAGATGAAGGCTTTGGGAAAAGGCACATTGCGTGAATCTCCTTGACAGGTAACAACTACACCATGTTTACACTTGCCGTTGCGATTTGATGCAATGCATCAACGCTTGGCATTAATGACTTCAATATTGTAAATATTTTCTGGTCTACGCCTTTTGGCATGTAGAAGAACCAACATGAGTTACGCTCAACCTTGCTGACGTGCAGAAGCGCCGAGAAGAGCTCAGATGAGATGAAGCGTGGAGTGTGAAGAGTGCAGTGTGAAGTGTGGGGCGTGAAGAGTGCAGCGTGAAGTGTGAAGTGTGGAGTGTGAAGAAAGCAATGAGAAGTGAGAAGTGTGAAGTGTGGACTGTGAAGTGTGAAGTGTGGAGTGTGAAGTGTGGATTGGGGAGAGTGCAGTGTGAAGTGAGAAGTGTGAAGTGTTGATTGCGAAGGGTGCAGTGTGAAGTGTGAAGACTGTCAAGTGTGAAGTGTGACGTGGAGCTTCAAATGTGACATGTGCAACACGACACCAGTTTCGCAGAGTGCACGCACGCACGGGCTTGGCTGGCGCACGGCGCATGCAAGTTCTATAGATGAGAAAGGTCTCATATATATCTTTAAGGCAACTTCCGCCCCGCCTCGTGCGGGTACTACTGGTAAGTAGTAAGTAGTAAGTAGTAAGTAGTAGTAGTTAGTAGTAGTTAGTAGTAGTTGTTAGTAGTAGTTGTTAGTAGTAGTTGTTAGTAGTAGTTGTTAGTAGTAGTTAGTAGTAGTTAGTAGTAGTTAGTCAGTAGTAGTCAGTAGTAGTTAGTCAGTAGTAGTCAGTAGTAGTCAGTAGTAGTCAGTAGTAGTCAGTAGTAGTCAGTAGTAGGAGTAGTAGTAGTAGTAGTAATAGTAGTAGTAGTAGTAGTCTACTCGTCGTTGGCATAGCTGGCCAGATAGGCATATTGTCCATTTTTTCACTCGGTAAGTAAACACACGAGAAACCAAAATTTTTACACGAGAAGCCAATATTTTTTCTACAAAAAAGGGGAAAAATGTGGATGCTTAAACGGCGGCCAGCCAATGTCGAAGGTCTGAGCTCGGCAGCGAGGTTCTCCCCTCCCCTAAAGCAACTCTGCGCTGTGTGTCGCGCATCTATGCTGAGTGCGCTGGGCGCACCTAGCATACCTAGCCTAAACGGCCCAAAGAACCGCAACTCACTTCTTTCAAATGGTTGCATCAGTTGGCCGATGGAACTCATAGTTCCAGATCTCCCAGAAGTTGTGCTGTGTCTCGCAATACCTCAGCAAGTCGCTGGTTTGAAGCGATGCCCATGTAGAAATGTCATCCTGGGATATCCTGAGTGTTTTATGGCGTTTCAACATCATCACACTTCCTGTGCCAGCACACATGTCCACACCCTCATGCCGCATGCCTTCAAATCCCTGTTCCCGCAATGCATAGAGCTATGAGCCCGCTGCTTGCAGTTGAAAGCCATCACATCCTTCTGCTCTTCACCACCTGTCCCTGCAGAGCAGCTGCGCGAAATCTGAGTGAATGAAATTCTTCGAGATGGCCATCGAGGCCTTCCAATTGCGCCCTAGATATTCAATACCTTTGCAGTTTGCATATCTTCCATGTTTTTGTCTGATGCGCCGGGGTGTAAAGTCAATCAAATTCACCCCAGATAGCAGCTTTGCCGCGATTCCAGTTTAAGAGCTTTCGAAGACCTTGCGTTTTGATTGATCTTTGACCGGGCCAGATACACACGCCTGCGTGTCTACAGCGTTCAAAGAAAGGTTCCACTTCGTGCTGCATGTTCTTGGGGTGGGAAACGCAAGCGGTGTTCTTGCATGAAATGTCCTCACAGGTCAGTGACCAATAGTTTCAATTGCTAAGCTGCTCCTCATCCCATGGCCAAGTCTTATATAATTCTGCACATCTGAATCTCTGCCTACCCCGGTCCTTAAAGTTGTAAACTCGGGGAGGGACCTGCAACCTGAACTCGCGCTCCACCTGCATTATGAGCATGGTTACGGGAACGTATGGACATCGGCGGTTGTGGGAAATCGTTCGAAAGCAACGACCGTGAGCGGAAGCTCTTAGTCAATGGCAACAAACGGATACAAACGGACACAATTGATGCAATGAAGAATGAAAACGAATGGTAGATCACAATATTTTGTGGTTGGTGGACATGTATTGGACATGTATTATTCGAAATAGCCATGTCTTCTTCGTGGGCGTGGAGCCATTGTCAGGACATAGGCTCTAGTATCTCGAACCTTGCCCCATGAAAATAGGATCATTCAGATGCATTGAGTATATTCAGTGCTCTGCCACCAGCAAGGATGATCCCCATGTCGGCAGATTCTGTGCAAAATATTGTGAGTTGAAGTTGCTGGGCAGCCGGCCCAACACTTCAGCGATCCAGCATTGTCGTATGGCTGCGGCCCACATTGGCACCACGTCTCGTCTTGGGAAAGATTGTTTTTTATATTGATTCTTTGATTTTATGTGTGCCATTTTGTAATTGTGGTGGCATTTTCAATTTGGATGGACACGCACAAATCAAGAAGTGTTCACATGTCTCAGGGGTTTTACATGCTTCAGTCGTCTCACTGGCATGGTCCCTGCACAAGCGATGACACGCTACCTTTTGGATGGCTCAAGAAAGAGGCAGCCGCTGCTGCTTCGGGTTTTTTCCCCCGCTTGGGGTTCGCAGGTTATGAGCCCAAGTGCTACGGCGCTTGGGTGAACTCCGCGTTGTGCGCGGCCATGGGCCGCCGACGGCGGCAGCTGCGCGAGACGGCCGATGAGCGCTTGGACCGCTTGATCGCCATGGAGCGGAACTCGAGGATCAGCTCCCCGGTGCCTGAGGTCAGAAGACTGATGGTGGAAGAGGGAAGAGCTGCAGCTTCTAGCCCGGGACCCCGACGTGATGGTCGAGGAGAAGGTGAAGCTGCTGGGTCCACGGGTTTGCTGCCAGTGGGATCAGGGACTCAGGTGCCGGATGGCCTCTTGGCTCCGCTGTTCCAGGACCTTGGACAGGAGGAAGCCCCACGAGTTTTCCATAGAAGGTTGGACGAGGATGATGAGACCAGTCCAGCCGTGGTGGCAGAGCTTTCTAGCGCTGTTGGAGCTGGTCAACTTTCAGCTCAAGATCTACGAGGAGAAGCTGGCCAAGGACGAGGTTTGGAGTACCGTGATGGTCCGGCCTTGTTGGAGGCGGCAGATGGCCTGTTTGGCCATGGTCGCAACGGTGCTGGAGCTCTGATGGTTCAGCCTGGCGTCAATGCCTTCTGGAGCAGCGAAGTCAGAAGGGCGGCAGTACTTGAGGGAGTGCCGGATGTTGCCAGGCCTCAGGCATTGCCACCGCTTGCTGGTCCACCGGTGTCATTTGGCCCTGGGCAGGCCCTTGGTGAAGGATGTGGAGGTTCTGGACATCTTCATCCTGGTTGCGCTGCTGGTGGCACTGGCCTTGAGCAGGCCTCTTTGCGCGGCGCGGCTGGTGGTGTTGGCCTTGAGCAGGCCTCTTCGCGCTGTGCAGCTGGGAGCATTGGCCCTGAGCAGGCCTCCTTGCGCTGTGCGGCTAACGGCATAGGTCTTGAGCAGGCCTCTTCGCGCGGCATGGTAGCTGGTGCTGGCCCTGTGCAGGCCTCTTCAAGCTGGGTTGCAACTGGTGGCATTGGCCCTGGGCAGGCCCTTGGTGCAGAAGGACGACAAGCTGGCCCTGTGCAGGCCAATGGAGCGCTACTTGATGGTGGTCCTGGATCTCTTCAAGCTGGTCTGAGTGGAGCTCTGTCGCAACCGTCGCCGGAGAAGTCGGTAGAAGCACTTCGGCTGAGGATTGTGAAGGCAGCAAAGGAAAGCTTCATCAGAGAGGCGAAGAAGTTGAAGGGCGAGGAGCCGGAGGGTGAAGTGCGCTCTTACCACACAGCTTCGAGTGGGCCTGGAGCGAATGGAAGGATGGTTCCACCAATGCCTTCTTTGCAGGGGGCTCCTGCGTCGTCTTTGGTGGCAGTGCAGCCTGGGGGGCAACCTATGTCTGGGCATCATGGACTTCATCAAGGAGGTCAGACCATCCCCGACCCCAACTGGTTCAGGAGTAGGGGGGGTGGATCCTACATTTCTGATAATGTATGAACATAAGGGGGGGGTTAACCCCCTCACTTTTTGCCAAAAATGTATGGGAACTAGGGGGGGGGTAACCCCTCAAAACGAGGCATGTATGAGTGCCAGATGCTGGAAATGTATTATTGGTAGGGGTATTGAACCTGAAAATGTATGCTTTGTGGGGGGTACCACTGACAAGAGCCAATGGATACATAAACTTTTCTAAATGTATGCAAGCATGGGGGGGTCTGCACCTCAATCCAATTGATCTTTTTTTCCTGGGAAACCTACTGAAACCCATGGGCCATAAAATGGCTGAAATATCCCCCTTTGAATTAAGTGAGAGTGTTGGTGTTGACAATTTTATAATGATAATCCGGGAGGCCCTGACCCTCTTTCTGAAAATGCATCTATAGAATCAGAGACCCCAAGGTATTTTCAAGTTGACAATCTCTATAGAATCGATGCCGCCAAGTCACTCTCGTAGATGGTTGGGGGGGTTAGTTGGCTTTCTATAAAATCAGGTTCCCCAAGTCTCCTCCATTGACAGCTGACCTGAATGCTCCAGTTACTCTTGCCTAGCTTGCCTTATGCACTCCCAAATTTATAGAGTTCAAAGGCTCCAAGTGTTCACTGTCAACCCCTTCATTTTTGTTTCATGTTGTATCCATCTGTTTCCATCCGTTTGCTCTTTTTTGGAAAGGCGGAAAGGCTGGCTCGAGGACTTCGACCCAAAAACGGGGAGACACACTGGGGAAACACAACGGGGAGAAAGAAAGGGGAGACACAACGGGGAGACACAACGGAAAAATGATGCAAAATGAAAAATGTCACTTTTATATATTGAAATGTCAAAATTGTACATATTTGCTGAATATAACTGATGATAACTGATGAAACCCTGATGATAGATCTCCAACAAATCTCCAATATATCCCAAAAGTATCCAAAAGTTTCCAAAAATATGTCAAGATTCCAAATGATTCCAAAATATACAAGGATGATCAAGGATGATGAAGGATGATGAAAGAATTGTTGTGGGAAATTGGTTCTGCCAATGCTTCTCTATAAAATTGAAGAACATGACATACATCCAAAGAGAACGTATCCCACTGTAGAATCGCAGTCCCTAAGACTCTCTGCTGACTAGTCCTCAGTGCTGTATTCAACATGAAATCTCTATAGAATTAGAGGCCCCAAGGTCCTCTATAAAATTGAAACCGTTGACACTAAGCGTTGACACTGGGTAGGTACCCCTTATTAAGTCAGGGGGTTAAAATGCACCATTTTCCAGGAAGTAACGTTCCCGATTCTGTAGAGGAAATTCCAAGGGGGATGCTGAAATATACTTGATCTTAAATATTCTGAAATGTATGCATTGCAGGGGGTACCAATGACTACCTTAGCCAGATCTATTCCCTCCATTTTCCAAAAATGATGTGCTTTTCGGCTACCCAACCCCCTTAAAATACATTTTTCAAAGAAGGGTATTCCCAGAAAAAAATTAAGCATTCCCGGGGATCCTGGAAAAACCAAACCCGTAAAATGTATTAAACCACCCCCCCAAAATAAAAGATCCTGGGGGGGGTTGGATATCCCGACCCATGGATCCTACATTTAACGTACACCCACCGGTCAAATAATGTATTTAGGGGGGGTCCTGGGGAATCAAATTCTTGGAGAACGGTAAATGTATTTTTTTTCCCCAACCTCTCCCCCCCCTAAAATACATTTTTAGGGGTGGGTGATGTCAGACCGCTGGACTTGGAGGTGGCATGATGTGGAGCCAACCAGTTTCTCCAATGGTGACTCACTCTCCTGGAACGCAGAGTGTCCTGGGTTTCAATGGTGGATGTGGGATGAATCCTGGACATCATCAAGGTGGTGCAGTCTATGGTGGACCGGCAGTGACTTCTCAGAGTCCTGATGTGGGCTTACATGGTGGTGGTCAACTTCCGGGTGGATTGGGAATGTCGGCCAATGCAGGACATCTTGGAGGTGGGCTGACTGGACCTAGTGCTGGTGGAGGTGCAGGTGGAACTACATCGCTGGTGAGACCTCCAGGCTTGGGTGGACCAGATCTACAACAAGGTGTGGCACAGCCGATGGAGCCTTTGAGAGGTTCCGAGCTTCCTCTACTACCTCAACCTGGGACGGAGCAGTCAGCTCTGCAGTTTGGTGATTGGATCACAGTGGTCACTCCGATGATTGGGGACGTGGCTGGATCTGCTCGTGGTTGGTGGGGTGACATCTTGCAAGATGCCTCAAGCTTGTATGACCGGTGGCTCACTTCGACGCCCTTGGAGAGGATCAGACTTCGTCCAACAGAAGTTCAACGATCTGAGGCCCATCTACGCTTGGAGCAGAGGGTGGTGCCTATGCTGCTGAAGTGTGTGCCGGAGTCCATCAAACAGGACCTGATTGCCAGCAGGACTATGACGGTCACTGGCATTATGTACAGGTTGTGGACGGTCTTTCAACCTGGTGGCAGCTCAGAGCGGGTGAGCATTCTCAAACAGCTCACGGAGCCGAAGGTGGCCAGCAGCGCACCGGATTTGCTTGGGGGACTTCGGCGATGGAGGCGTCTCATGAGCCGATCCATGGAGCTGAACTTGGCCTTCCAGATCCGATCATTCTTGGAGGAGTTCTTCATCGCTTTGCAGATGCTCTTGGGAAGCTGGGTGGAACGCAGTTGGCGTACCGGGTGGCCTCGGTGAGGCAGGAGCTGGGGGTTGACATCAGGCCCTTGGCACTATCCATTGAGCAGTATGCGGAGTACCTCCAGTCTGAGGCCGAGGAGCTGAGCTTGGGAATTGGCCTGAGAGCCACTACTGCTGGAGCTGCTGCCCCAACCTCGCTGAAAGCCATGGTGGGTTTGGACGCTTCAACTTCGACTACGA